ACAGATAGTAACCCGAGTTAAATATCACACCAGGAACCCTGGAGCTGTGAGGCATTTGCATGTAATGACTTCCTAAAATGATGCTCAGACACAAACACATCTATCTTCCAGTAATCATGCTTGACCAGGCTTGTAGTCTGTTGTGGCCGTCTCTGCTTGTTATGGGAGTCTCTGTAAAAGAACAGAACTGAACACACTGCGCTCTCCACTGCTGATAATCTCTAATACTTCATGCAGGGGCATGAACTTGTTCATGTATAAACCTATTGAAGATTGAAGTCTGCACACAGTTAGCTCAGTTCAGTGATTTAATATAATGGGAACAATTACACAAACACACAAACGAAGGCCTAAAGCCAAACATTTGTGTAACTATTCCTGTTATATTAAATCATTGAACTGAGCTAAATGTGCGCAGACTTCATTCATCAATAATCTCCGTTAAAAAAGCCTGAACTGAGTCAATGTGAAGCACCTCAGTCAGACCATCATGACAGTTCTGGTATTGTTCTCTATCTTAACACAACAAAGTACTCACAAAGCTCGGAAACGGTGAAGAAAATGTCAGAGGTCTTACTTTCAGTTTATTTTCCACAATTGTGGGATCTCATGTGTAGGTTTTGGACAGAACTTGAGACAGTGCACGGCTTAGTGAATGCGAAAGGTCCTTATCTCAGTAGGAACATGTGGACGTGACAGAACTGAGAACAGGGAACGAAAGCGAGAACCAAACACAGTTTTGTAGCTCTGTGAATTCGGTAACTAAGACAGAAGCAAAACAAAAAGGAGAGTGAAAAAAAGAGTTTTTACTGTTAAATGAACAAGAATATTGCAAACAACCAGACGTTATATGCTACTGAGATGACAGAATAATGACAGTGATGGAGGGATTGGTGTCCTGTCTGAATATTTGAGGGCCCAAGAGACATCTTACTAAGGGCCCGCTTACAGACATCAATCATATTCTTTTATATGCAAGAATGAACAGAAAACAAGTGTTAAATAAAGAATAACATAAAAAGACAGAACAAGATACTAGCTAAGTCTAGATGCTAGCTAGCTAGTTTGTTAGTCACAAACCTTTTTCCTTTCAATTACATCAATGTGCAGAAGCAAAGTGGAAAAATTTACTAAATCCAATTAATTAAGATGAAATTCTTACTGGTGTTTTGGCCTCTTCTGCTTTTTTCTGTTTCCACCCCAAATAGATACAGTATGAAGACTTCATGATCGCAGCTTTTTCGTGACCTTCTGATGTTAGTCACGTTAGTTACCTAATTTAGTCATGTAAATTGTAGTTTCTATTATTTTTACACCACAAGGGAGCCTCCTGAGACGACCTGATACATAAACCTTTTCACCAAATGATAGTAAAGTGTGCTTTTTTGCAAATCTATTTTAAAAATCATGGGGTCCCCGGTGGTCCGGAGGCCCTAAGCAACTTCTTATACCACTTCTAACAAGAAACAGTCCTGCTCCTGACCAAGAATATTGACTAACCTAGCAAGAGCAGGAGTTTTACCCTAACTATTCACACACACACAAACACATTGCTGAGGAACAACAAAACAGCAATTTTCTGTCCAGTAGGCTCAGACCAGTTAATATTGTGATCAGACTGATTTATCTTTCACTGCCAGAAACTTTCAGTGGCTTTCAGTTGAAGCTGCATGAAGTCTTGCCTATTTTCTATTTTCACTTGTTGTTGTGCCAGTCACACTCATGTCTGCCAGAAGTTTGCAAATGATATGCAGATTTTACCCAGATATCCGGCAGTGTTTTATAGGAGTGAACCATATTCCGTAACTGTTATGGACAAGAAATGAATTAATTAAAGGTACATTCTGTGATTTTGTTAAAAACAATTAGTCAAGCTAGCTGTTTAATCCAAAATTCAAACAAACACCTCTTTTGAGGAGCAAGTTTACCCACAAACCAAAGGGAAAAGCTATCAAATACTAACTTACTTTATCTATTTGTTTAATTCTTGCTAATTTCCTGACCAATGATTTGTTGTTAAGACCATTAAAAGCTTAATATTTTGCCCTTTTTTTTGCCCAGGAGTGTAGTAGGACGCCTCCTTGTCCTGTTTGGTTGAATGATGGTGGTCCACTTCATTTGTTTTTTTTTTCTGTCTTTTAAAGGTGCATTAGGTAAGATTAGTCTTTTTTTTCAAGATTAGGTCACTAATGGTTAAATGATTTCCGCCCATGTTCGTGAAGCCCACCCCCCAGGGTCTATGATGGCCCGTAGAGCATAGTGTCGATAAAATTATATGTTATTTGTACATGTTATGAATAAAAAAAAATCAACTATTGCACCTTTAAGGAGTGCCACAAAGACTGAATACAGTTTACTGAAGCTGCCAGAATGTGAGGAGAATATTAGACAATTACAAAATGTGTTATGACTTGAAAATCGCTGAGCCACCTTTAAAGGAAAGAAGGCTTTGCTTTTCTAGATCAGGGTTCAGTCTAACATTAATGAAGGAGTGGTGTAGTCTAGTATGCTCACCTACATGACTGTCACTCATAACCTACTTCAGGAACAATTAATAAATAAGCACATTGCCTTGAGATTGAACATGTAGGTGCGTTGTTCCCCGACCATAAAAACATAAATTATATGGAAGTGCCCATGAAAGAGGTGTATAAAACATACCAATACTAATCTATTGAGGTAATAGTACAGGCTGATTAACTCTGGAGTACAGAGTAGGATCATGACTCAGAGCTCTATATAAATAGTAATAAAAATGAAGCCTCCATGATACGCAGGGTCTATGAACTGATGCTTTCATATAAAAGAGATCACTGTAAGTTAGACATTATTAGAGTCACTGTTCATTCCTTCTAGTGACAAAGCTCTTACTTCCTCTTTGTGTGTTTAATGTGGAAACTTCCTTCTCCTTGAATCTGCTGAAACAGTTTACATTAACCTGTAAGTCTCTGTGGTTTCTGCTTTCACCCTGGAGCTTGACAGTCATTCTGTGAAAATGGAGCATTAGTTAAAAAGTGGACTGGTCAGAGTTTTATTGTGCTGGACTCCTCAGTTGTGTTTTCATCTCTCTTGTCAGTCATGTTACAGACATGCCCTGAAGGGCCCTATTGCACCGCCCCATCCGTACTGCTCAGTAACACAAGCATGCCAAAATTCATGGCTAAACAAGATAGTATTACAAGGTACTGTTTTTGTGGGGGAAAAAAATCATCGCAAACTGTTACAAAAACACAATGATGCCAAAGCAAATAATGATGCCAGTTGTTTTGACAAGATGGAGAAACCTGCTGAATGTAAAAGTGATAAATTTCCCCTCATTTCTCTAATGCCAGGTAATGGCAGATTGGCTAGTCAGTAAAAAAACAATATAATGTGTAATTTTTGCGATGCACATCAGATTATTTACTGTTAATAAATTTAAAAAGCTGGACTATTTCGGACTTTTGTGGAACCGAGTGCATCAGCACCACCCGTGGTCATAAGGAAAACATACAGAATGGTCTGAAGAAGCAAGAAGTGATGCTGGGGCTGATTTCTTTCTAGCACAGACTGTAGATTCATCCAGACTATCAGTGACCATGTCGTGTCAGGTGATTACCCAGAGTTGAGCTCTATTTGGGCTGAAATTTTTCACACACATCCGTAACACGTCATCAGCCGTGATTGAGAAAGCCCATGTGACCGCGACGAAATACAGTCGCGGGTGTAATGAATGTCAACCAGGTGGATTGTTTACTCTATCAGAATTTTTTCCCTAAAATGCCCTTGGAGGAGAAGCTAAAAGTAGATAAGACTAATCATACATTGTCCAATCCAAGTACAAATTACACAAAAGATTGTTTGGGAAAGTTCTTCAGCTTCTAAGATGTTGCCTAATGCTGTGTTCAGTGCTGTGCTTTAACCATAGCTCACCGTCCGGTGATACCGGTACCACAAACTCTAACATCACTCTCTTCATTTCGTCTGTTTTGAGCATAATAGAATTCACTTTGTAAATCATTTCACAAAAATAGAAATTGCATAGTAACTCATTATCAAATGACGTCTAGGCTACTGACCGTGGTGTCAAACTGTCACGTCCACCACAGACAGTTCTTCTTTCACGGTTCCACTCGTTTCCTGTATTTGTATGTTCTGTGTGTTCGTTGCTTAGTGGCTGTTGTTTTTTGCTAGACTAGTGTTGCTGTTGCCGGTTGTATGCTTCATGCTGTGTTCTTGTTTTGCTCCCTGCTCTTGTTTTGTGATTCTTGCCTTGACTTTGTTTGTTTTGCTAGTTTTTTGGCACTTCCACCCACCTCCAAATCATTACATAAACTTATTTTAGATAACGGGCCATATTACACTCAGTTCAGTGTCTAGTGGGTGGAACAAAAAATAAATAAATAAAAAATCCGAGTAGTAGACCAGTAAGACATCAACAACTCCTGTTCAGTTATCTGTGTTTACCTTAAATGTTTATTAATATTATGAATGAACCTTCTCCAAACTGTAGCAAATTAATACGTCTAAAGGTCAGGTATTAAATTTGTGTAAGCCCGTTTCCACAATATATGAAACCAAAAACATTATTTCATTGATGACTTTTGAGAATGATGTCCCAGTATCACAAAATATTAAGGTTTTTTGTAATTATGACTTAATTATTACTGGTAAAATTGGCTTTATATTAGTTTTTCAACAGTTCACACCTTCAGTGGCAGCAGTGTTTAAAAAAAGCCTTTTCATTGTACACTATGACCAAAAGTATGTGGACACCTGAGCAATCACACCCATAGGGGAAATTGTAATGCTACAGCATACAAAGACATCCTATACAATTGTGTGCTTCCAAATTTTCAGCAACAGTTTGGGGAAGAAACACATATGGGTGTGATGGTCTGGTGTCCACATACTTTTGGCCATATAGTGTATACTTGCCATAGTTATAATGACATACTACAGTAAAATTATGGTACTATCATGGTTCAGAGTTGGGTAACCATACTTACCCAACTCTGGGGGCAGTTGTGGCCTAATGGTTAGAGGCTCGGACTTGTAACCCGATGGTGAACCTGAAGGTTCTGGGTTCGAGTCTCAGGTCCAGCAGGGATTGTAGGTGGGGGGAGTGAATGACCAGCGCTCTCTCCCACCCTCAATACCACGACTGAGGTGAGACCCTTGAGCAAGGCACCGAACCCCCAACTGCTCCCCGGGCGCCGCAGCAAAAAAGGCTGCCCACTGCTCCGGGTGTGTGTTCATGGTGTGTGTGCGTATGTTCACTACTGTGTGTGTGTACTTGGATGGGTTAAATGCAGAGCACAAATTCCGAGTATGGGCCACAAGTCACTTCACTTCACTTCACTTCACTTCACTTACCCTAAAGTGTCTTAATAAGACCGCAGGAATCTATAGTGAGTGTAAATTGCAACATGCAAAAGCAGAGGTTTTCAGATCAACCTCTACAACTTCTCAGGTTTTGAACATGTAACGGAACAGTTGAGGTTTTTTTTTTTTTTTTTTTGGTTTAATTTGTATCTGACTAGGCAAGATTTCTCAGATTTCTCTCTTAGCACATGCGGTGTTTCACATAGGAAGCAAAGTTGTTTTTTTTTAGCTCTGTCAATTTTGAAATCTCCCACCTTTAAGAAGTGTTAACAATTTGAACTGCTGTTCAGATGTACAAGTTGCTGCATGTGCAGCTTCCTGTGTATCATGTGCTCAGTCAATCTGTTGTCTACACTCATTACCAGATTAGTAATATGTTAATGTGGTAAAACACTTCACTGCAAACTGGATTATATTAAAGGTGGATACAGTGCACTACAGTGAACCGCTGATATATGTAGGTCATAAACATACGTGTGACTTCTTTTAGTCTCTTTACATATGACTTCTAGAGCTTTTTAAACACCAATGCTTAGGCTTCTGTGGTCGAAACCTTTTTTTTCCATCACGCTACTCGCTTGCTCTTTACACTTGACCTGTACGCAACCTCTGCAGAGCAAACGTCAGGGTTACCACAGAAACACAAAGAGATGCATAAAGGATAACACATAAAGATTGCAGCTGATATAAAGCTATCCAACAATCACCAGTCATCAGTTTGTTGTCAAACTATGAGTGAAAAATCTTTCCAGTCACAAAATGGCATGCATCAGTGAATGACAGAATGGAAATAGTGTATAAAAGAATGGAAAATAAACCTAAAACTGCTACCTTAAAATGTCACCATGCGAAGGTTAAAGTCACTGAGATCACATTTTCCCCCATTCTGATGTCTGACATGAACATTAACTGAAGCTCTTGAGCTGTACCTGCATGATTTTATGCACTGCACTGCTTACACATGATTGGCTGATTCGTACAGGTGTTCATAATGTGTTTTCATGTAGCAGTTTACCTTGATACAAGAATTACCAGTGTACCAATGTCCTTGATATACTGTATACATAATAAATAAAAGATAATGCTATCAAAAGAATCTGTGTGCTACCTCTCTGGTCATGACATGAGGACACAGATGTCAATGCTATTATACTTAGTGTCTTGTACTTCAAGTTGTTTGTTATTCTTGTGCTGCGGATGTGTAAGTGAAACTGTCTCCACATGCTGCATGCTGAACGTTGATCTGCAGAAGTGTTTTGAATTACTGTGCAGCGGTGTGTACATCGTATTAAAATTAAAGCCAACTGAAACGTACACCCACACACTGCTTTAAACGCCACAGAATACCACAAGCCAGTACAGTTATGCAAAAACACTTCTCGCCAAGTCACTGTGTATCTGAGGTCATGTAAGATATTCTACAGCAAGAAGAGCATCATAGTCATACAGATTTAGCGCCACTGTATGGGAAACCTGATGCATTACATGAAAAAAAAAAAACATGTTTAGCCAGCCAGGTACTCAATAAATATGTTGAGATTAGACTTGGTTTGGTTAAGAAAATAGTTAAGGTCATGGGGACAACTTATGGGGGACAGACAGGATTTTATTAACATAAATACATAGAGAACGCACTCATGCACACATCTATGCTTCTGTCTCTCTATCTATTTATTTATGTATCTATCTATCTATCTATCTATCTATCTATCTATCTATCTACCTATTTCATGTCCATTCTTATCCTTCATGGTGTCTCTCCTCTTTCTACCTGACACTTAAATAGCTTAAAACAATTATATGTACTATATAAGGAATAAAACACTTCAGGACATGCTGTTGTAGGAAAATAATCAATGACGTGGTGTGGTGATGAAACAGAGTTACAGTTACCACCCCGAAGTAGATTAGTTTTCTATAGCGCTACATCCAGCAGTGTTTTGTTCCTCTAATAGGACAGCAGTTTACCCAAGATTAAGATGTTTGATTTATTAATGAACAACACGTCGTGCTTTGTAACCATTTATAGTTGCGTTTAATGTTGTGGAACGTCCATGATTGTCCTCTGTCACAAAGACTCTCCAGTGGTGGAAAACTGACTGACTTTTTTAAAGCACTGACACTGGAGACTCCTTCCATAAATGTTACATAAACATCTCCTTATGGAAAACTTCACCATGTCAACAATGAAACATTTTCCTTTGTTAAATAACAATTTTTCCTCAGTTTGTTATTAACCTTCGATTATGTGGAGTGTCCACCGTACAAGTCTCTGTGACTATAGAAACGATAACGTTACTATAGAAACGTATTAGAAAGAGTGCATTAATATACAGTAAATCTGTGATTTGCAGCTGCACTACTGTCAGAGCTGCTGTTATAGAAAACACCTTCTGAATCAACAATGTTCTGTTTCATCTTACACATTTCCATGTTATCATATTGAAGACATTTTACTTTAAATAAGCCTTTAACCTATGGATTATGTCCTAGTGATGAGGAACATGCATTCATTTTGTTTTCTTTATGAAATACATCCAAAAATGAGGCTCAGTAATTATTAATAAGAATTTCCTTAGCTGATATTATATATTATAAATTGCATTGCAGTGCTGGTTCTGCTGGTATGAAGACAGAACATTTTTTAATGTATGTTTGCATGTTTTCTCTATGTTTTTATGCTCATCAACTCTTGAGAATCTAACAGTTCTCCTTTTTATCTTCATGCTCATCTAACCAGACTCATCTTACTAGCCAAACTAAAACAATATTTAATCTTTGTGGTGTTTTCACTGTTAATTAACTCAAGCTCTTCATGTGCTTTGAACTGTGTAGATTAACGATTTCCATCTTATTTTATACCCTGCATTTGTTCTGGTGCAGTGGAAAATTTTTTGAATTAGCATTAAAGAACATTAAAGGATTATTGGTGAAAAGTGAAAAACAGCAAACAGAAGAGAAAACATTTTTCTAGGAACTGATGCATGAGAGAAGCATGAAGAGCATTCTGTGGTCTCCATTTGGTTTCCTGTCTGAAATACCTCCAAAAATGAGATCCAGTAAAACAATACAATTATTTATTTATTTTTAAATAGTCCATTGCACTGGATGCTGATTCTGAACAATAGCTCTGCTATTAAGAGAGAATGTATTTCTTTTATATCAAAATATTCATTATATTTCTTTTCACCACAGCACTGTTGAATTCTTGACTCTGATTGGTCAGAAGATGTTGATTCATTTTCTATAATAGCAGCTCTGACTGTAGTTTTGGCTGCAAGATTTATATAAATGCACGCATTCTAATACTTTATCGTTTCTATAGTAACAGTTGTTGATGTAGTGAAGTTTGTAGATGTTTATTTAACATTTATGGAAAGAGTCTCCAGTGTCAGTGCTTAGTCAGCACAGTCAGAGGTAAAAGCTGTTAATTTTAAGTCTTCAGGCCTACATCGACCTTCAGTGCAGAAGGGTGGAATCCCTGGAGCCCCCGGCTGCCTAGAGCATACAGGAGTAGTTACGCAGCTCATCAGAGAGGCACACGAGAGCAGAGGTGACCTCGTAGTGTTGTGGCTGGACTTGACCAACGCCTATGGGTCCATCCCTCACAAACTGGTTGAGCTTGCGTTACATCGCCACCATGTTCCCGGTAAGATCAAGGACCTGATCCTGGATTATTACAACAATTTCAGACTCAGGGTCACTTCCGGGTCAGTAACATCAGACTGGCATCGCCTGGGGAAAGGCACAATAACAGGCTGTACCATCTCTGTGATCCTTTTCGCCCTCGCAATGAACATGGTGGTCAAGGCTGCCGAGGTGGAATGCAGAGGGCCCCTGTCGAAGTCTGGCGTCCGACAGCCCCCGATAAGAGCGTTCATGGATGACCTCACCATTACAACAACATCAGTCCCAGGGTGCAGGTGGATCTTGCAAGGTCTGGAGAGT